AATAAATAAAATAAAATAAAATAAAATAAAATAAAATAAAATAAAATAAAATAAAATAAAATAAAATAAAATAAAATAAAATAAAATTAAATTAAATTAAATTAAATTAAATTAAATTAAATTGAATTAAATTAAATTAAATTAAATTAAATTAAACTAAATTAAATAACATAAAAGAAAAGAAAATGATGTAAACTAAAAAAGTAAAACATAATCAAAAAGGAGAAAGAAAATTAAATTAAATTAAACAAAAAAAATTAAATAAAATAACATAAACTACAAAAAAAGTGAAATAAAATAAATAAAATATAAACTATTTTGCTTAGTTTATATTTTATTTATATACAATAAAATTATATAAATTTTAAATTATTAAAAAAAAATAAAATGAAATAATAGCAATTAAACTTAATTAAATTGAACTAAACGAAAGAAACATTACAATAACGTAAAGTTAAATAAAATCAAGTAGCCCAAAACAGAAGAAATAGAAAAAAGTATACTTATGTTAAAAAAATATATGATGTTAAATAAAAAATAAATTTTAAATAAATTAAAAAGATTAAGTGAAATAATATAACTTAAAAATAAAATAAAACGATATAAAATAATATAATGTTAAAAAACATAATAAATAAGACCATGAAAAATTATTGAATGATTTAATTTTAATAATTTCTGCACGTTTTCTTCCCTTTTACCATCAATCAGAAATCAAAACGCTCACAACTATAACAGCATCACTTCTTTGCAGTAGCGCAAACGTGCTTACTGCTTTATGGCATTACACACCCGAATACTGACTATTGGAATGCATTATATATACATATTTATTATTTTTTTAATTTATTTGCTTATTTTATCTTATTTTATCTTATAGGGTTTTATTTACTTACACGTACCGTCCTTGTATTTTGTTGTAGTTTATAGCTTTTAAATGAGCTGAAGGAATTACAGTAGTCCATACGTCAATAATATATATGTAAAAAATATATTAATTTCCAACAAGCGTCTAGTAGTCGGTAAGCAAGTCAATCGTATGCAAATTGCCAATGTAAAGTCATCAATAATTCGCTTTTATCAAATGACAAGTTCGTTGTTTAAGCCTTTGTCTGGCAGCTTCAGTAAATGCAATGAAGGGTGGCGACCTTGTAGTAGGGCACACACTGTCTTTCGTCTTTAAGGTTGCATAAGTACATCCTTTGTTGTAGCAAACTCCTTACAATGCAGAATTTAAGTTACCGCAACTCAATGCCACTTTCCTACTGAACGCTCTACGACCCCCTCTCAATGGCTTGCCGACAGCGCCCGCACTCAATCTTGTAATTTACTATCGCCTAATTGATAGAGCTGCGCAATGCTATGACTAATTAATAACACTTTTTCAATGTCAAACTGTAGCGACTTAAAAGGGCTTGCCTTCGGCTCCAAACGGCTGCAAGTTGTTGACTTAGCAACTTTTGTCTTTGACCGCCTTGACTTCTTGCGCTGTCACCAGACTATTGGCGACTATGCCGTAGCAAAACTAAGTATTTACCATGCTCTTTTTCTCCTAGTTATCTAACCTTTTCCCCTCCCTTCTCCCACCTACAACCAGTTTATACTGTGGAGTGCAGCTTTATGCTTTCTGCGCATTTAATGCGCCTGACAAGCTCACATTTTTCAATCTGCTTTATTTAGCTACTCGAAATAAATCACGCATCTTAATGCATGACCACCGCAACATATGTGGGTATGTGTGTACCTTTCTGCACAAGCGCTGCGCAACGGCATCATTCATTTGGCTATTTTCGTAGAAAAATTGCACGCACAACGCTTTAAACCATTTGCTGATGGTAAGGCAAACGCTTACTTAGTCATATGTATGTATATATAGACAATATATAGACTTAAATAGCGAGTGTCAATTTGTTACAGCATGCCTTTGAGCGATTTTTCTCCTGATTGTGCGTGCTACATGCCGCAAGTTGTAGTTGAATGCGTGACTGACTTCAATTTTTGTTTTAATTTTTTTACTGACTCAATTTTTTTTACTTTTAAGCTCCAAAAATTTTGCCATATTTCACTCGTAATTTTTTTTTATTTATTTATCTGCACAACTAAATGCATTTTTTCAGTTATTTTTATATTTTCTGCACAAGTGAAGGGGCTCGCAAAAGAGAAAGGACATATATAAATATATGTACGATTATGTTTGCAAGCAAATTTATTTTTATTTCTTAATTTTTCCATTGGAAATATTTTGTTCTCGCTAACTGATTGCTAACCATGCTGGCAAAGTGACTGACTTGAAAGTTGTTGGCCATAAATGCATCTTTTTTTTATATATATTGTTATTTATTTGTTTTCAAAATTATAAACTTTTTTTTTAACTTTACTTTATACCTCATGCTGATGATGAGTTAAAATAAACTGGCCTTATCGAAAATTTGAATTACGCTGACGACTTTGGGTAATGTTGAACTGTCTGTCGACTTTATAAAAGCAAGGTATAAGTTTATAGAATCCAAGAAATAAAAAATAGGGGAAAAGAAAATTATAAAGTTTGGCTATACTACTTTGGGAGAGAAGAAGGGTTGGTAATATAGTCCAAGGTTTTTTCTAAATATTATATCTCTTCCAATTATCCTTCATATATATGCATGATCTCAATATGGGTTTGAGAAACAGAAACTCATTAGAAGTCAAAAAATTTAACCGAAAAAATCAGACTTGTTAGACTTGTTATTGATTAACTGAACTTCCAGTCCAAAAGTATCAATTTGGAGAGAGGATAGAAATTTCCAAATGTCATAACAAGTGACTCATTTGATTGCACACCTCATTTCATGTATATAATCAATATTCAAGACATAAAAATTGCAATCAGATTAAGTAGCTAATGGCTTGGCATGTCACAGTCAAAATTCGATCAAGATTAGAACAGAAGTAAAGCAATGAATTCTCAGATGGAATTCTTAAGGAGTGGAAGCGTGGAATGTGCAGGCCTTTAGCAAATTTTATTTTATTTAATTTATTTATTTTATTTTATTTCACTTTAATTTATTTAATTTTTTTTTTATTTTACTTTATTATATATTATTTTTTTGTTTTTATTTTATTTTAATTTATTTTTTTCATATCCCACATCTCACACATAAAAGTCATAAGTCATTTTTTTTTTCGATTTTGGGAAAAGAACTATACACAATCTACTTCTCCCTCAACTAAATGCTTAACAAAACGTAGTTATAAATAATAATCATCATTAGATGCATGATATGTGATAAGTAGCCGCCATTCACTTCCTCATACTATGCAGACAAATAGGCGAAATGCCTGAGAATTAACTGAAAAAAAAAAATTAAATAACTAGAAGAAGAAAGTTGGTATAGGAGAAAAATATATGTATATACTTTAACATTTTCTAGTAAAATTGAAAAACGCTTCTTATACGTACACAAATGGACACACGCGCTTGCTACGACATACCACAACTGTCAGTCAATCAACTGGCGACATCACCGCTATATTCACCAGCGCTGTTTCCTCCAGCTCTGTAAACGTGCTGATACTTATATGTGAAATATTTCCCACACATACACATATATTGTATATGCATGTATGTACACGTGATTGTGGCTTTATTGACTTTACTAACCGTTTGTGACAAAGGTGCGTTAATGATGAGCACCAACAGGGTCTGCCGCCGGCTCAATGAATACACTTTGGGCACATACGGGAATGTGTTTATATACGAGTATACGTATATATAAATGTATAAGAAGTTGATATACTTAAATATGTGTACACATGTTTAATTTTTGTTATTTACCTGGGTGTCATTTACCTGTTGCCAAACGACGTTCCTCAAACATGTCAATGTACAAATGGAATAAATAGTGCTTTTTTGCACTTTACGCGCTGTCAACGAAGCTCTATTCCACATTCTTCCTTTTTTATACACAAGCAAAGTAAAGCATTAATGTGAGTTGGAAGGCTTTTGCTGATTTCTTTGGACTTGGTGAAAATCTCTCAAAATATAATAATTTTAATAGCTATAATTTCTTTTTAGTTCAAGAAAAAAATATTTTTTTAAATTATTATGGCTCTAATGTTCTAATTTATAATTTTTAAAATATATTTGTGCAAATATATTTTTTTATATTTCCTGTTTTATTTTCAATTTTATTTATTTATTTATTTTTTTTGCAGTTTCTATATTTACTTGTATTAATCTTTTTTAGTTTCATATGAAGAATTTTTTCCATTTATTTTTTTTTTTTCTTATAAAATCTTTTTCAATTTTTTCTTATGTTTGTACCCATTAAATTCCCTTTTGAGCACTTTGTTGCTTGTTCACTTCGCTTTTGTGATTATCGACAAGTGCTTTATTCCACTGTTGTCATTAGCATTTTTTTTTATTGTTGTACATCATTTTTTGCTCACTTGCGGAAGCGTGTTTAAAATTTTAATTCCCTACAATTTTAATTTATAATTACAATATTCTATCGTTTACCAGCGAAAAAGTTGTGATTATGCTATTTACATTTTTTACGTTTACTTCTTATGATATTTTTTGATTCTTTCAAACATCATGTATTGTTTCAGAAATTTGCAAGTGATTGGCATACTATTTTTATACAATTACTTACACATAATTTTCGTCATTGTTGAAATTTCTGAGTGCGACTTGAATTTTTTATTTTTCTCTTTTTTAAAATATTTTATAAAGTTTTTCATTGTTATTGAATTTTTTTTTAATTTTTTTTAAGCTACGTGTATCCCTTTCTTGCTATAAAATAGCAATTTTATCGCTACTAACGCTCCTCAAAATATCTTATTTATTTATAGTTAGATACTCGTCTGCCCAGTTGTTCTTCAATTAATTATATACATGTACATAAACATAACCAGGCTTATGCAAAAAAGTGTATGTTGTTTACTAACATGCTAATAGCATTTATAAACTTCGTTTTATATAAATAACTGATTTGTACCTTTTTTTCTTCTCTTTACAGCAAAAATGAGAATATTTTTGCCACTAGTCACGTGGATAGTGCTACTTTCGAGTACAGTAAGTATTACGGAAATATTAAAATAAAAATTAAATTCTTTTACAATCGATGAACTAAGAGCTATATTTTTATGGAGATGACTAAGATATGTTTCTTTTGGGTAGCTGCCTTTATATATAATTAGTTTTGTTCTTTTATTTCATTTTATTTTATTTTTTTTAATTTTATTTCACTGTATTTTATTTAATTTCATTTAGTTGTAATTTATTTTATTTCATTTCATTCAATTTTTGTCTTTGTTATGTTATTTGATTTCATTATATATTTTTATTTTATTTTATTATTATATTTTCATATTATACTTTTTTTATTTAATTTTATTTTATTTTTTTTATTTTATTTTATTTTATTTTATTTTATTTTATTTTATTTTATTTTATTTTATTTTATTTTATTTTATTTTATTTTATTTTATTTTATTTTGTTTTATTTTATTTTATTTTTCTTTTTTTTCTTTTGAATTTTTTATATTATGGTATCTATTATTTGATATCATATTATTTTATTTTTTATTCAATTTTTTTTAAGCCCCTGAAAGACTTTAGCAACAAACTTGCGCCGCTAAAAGTACTTAAGAATAAAATAATGCTATTTGTTACAGCATTTAGATTTTAATTTCAAGTTTGTTTTCATCGAGTAAACAGTAAAATAAAAAATGTGCTATGTTTAATTTAACGATAAATTTGTATAATAAAATACATATAAATTTTACTGTTTCTAATTACAAAACAAATGCTTGCTTCATTTTGTTGCAGAAGATGTAAAATCTTCTCACTTTTATTATGCTTTTAAGTTTTCTATGACAAATTTAATAAGTTATATAAAATGTCATAAGCCGCAGCTCACTTGTTGCCACATCATTATGTTAACAACTAATAATATTGTATAATCAAAAAGAAAAATAGTTGTGCAGCTTATAGCTTTTCACAGTTAACAATAGTCTATTAATTGTCTATTGAACTCTCCACAGCAAATGCGAAATAAAAACACAAAAGCGTTAACCGAATTGACTTGAGTCCAAAACAAACCGAAAGCGATGACAAAATTAATTGGCAGTTAATTATATTACTTTTAAAGAACAACAACAGGATCAACCACGACCAAAGAGGAAAGAAAAGTTAACAGTTACAACACAAGTCAATAACCTTTCTAATTAGTAAGCCCTAAACCAATTCGCCAATTTATGCGAGCCGGCCAATAGTCAAAAAAACCAACGGTATTTTGTTATAAATACTCGTGTAAGGCAAATGTATTATTATTGTGTTTGTTTTTGTACACTTATTTATGGCTGTCTTTTTGGTGTCTTTTAATAACACCAAAATATCCATTAACACAACCAAAAATAAATAAATAGATGGATAGATATTTCTCATTACCTAACTAGCATGCATTGGGCATCAAAATAAACGCAGACTATTTATGTCTGAAAATTTTCTTCTTTGGCATTTAGTATACATATATACTATACTATATTCTATATACTATTCATATCTACATATTAAAAATATAAGACTACCTTGTCTCTATTGACCTTTTTTCGTGTTTCCTTTTTTACTTTATTCAAAAAGCTTGAACGCGCTTATTTTTATGCATTACGTTGATTACTGCTTCTTTTTTGTTGTTGTTCTTTCTGTTCTTGTATTTGTTGTTAATACTTCGCAATTCATTAGTTTGACTTTCCCATTTTAGCAATCAAGTTACAAAATATTCATCATATTTAGATGTCGGCGCTTGTGTGTGTGTGTATATGTATGTAAGGGAGTGTGTGCCATTGTTGCCTATAATAGCGCGACCGCAGTCGTTGACCGCTGCCACACCATCGTGATTACGACTTGTGAACTGACTTGACAGCGATCGAGTGGCTGTCATTTATTTGCAATGTTATTGTTGCTAGTTTAGATATATTTTACTTTCTTAGGAGTGCTGTTGTTGCAATTTAATGCTCACTCTCTCGCTTGCTTCTTTTGCTATCTTAGTAGTTATCTTTCATGCGACCGCTTTCTTTTGCTTAGATAGTTTGTCGCTTTTTCGCATGTTAAATTTACTTTCTTCTAACCAGCTACAGCACTATTTTTCTCTCTATTTTTTGCTTTTAATTTTTTATTTCATTATAACTTATTAATAAATTTTTATTTCACTTTATTTATTTTTTTATTTTTTATTTTTTTATTTATTCCATTTTTTTATTATATTTTATTTATTATGTTTCATTGTATTTCATTTTATTTTATTTTATTTTATTTTATTTTATTTTATTTTATTTTATTTTATTTTATTTTATTTTATTTTATTTTATTTTATTTTATTTTATTTTATTTTATTTTATTTTATTTTATTTTATTTTATTTTATTTATTTTATTTTATAATTTAATTGTTTTTTGATTTGTTTTATTTTCTTTTTGTAGTTTATTTTTATATTTTATTTTATTTTTTTATATTGCATCTCATTTAATTTTTATTTTTTTTTTTAATTGTCGTAAATAATAATTATTTCTATTGATCTCTGTATAGTTTTGGCGCTCAGACGTCTACTTTCGCACCTTTCTCACATTCCTTAGTAATGCAAATCTGTTTTCAAGAAACTTTCTTTATGAGAAACAATAAGGGAAGAGCAAAAAAATAATGCTGACCATGATAGCTATCAATTTCTTTGAATTCATTTGAAAAAACAAAGAGTTATGACTTCAGCGAAATCGCATAAAATGGTTTGCATAAGCACAAATATACACGTACTTTACGTACTTATACCTATACTCTTATATATGTGTACGTTATAGTGTTTTTAAATTAAATTTCCCTCAAGACGCCAAATGTTTTATTGTTTTGTAGCCACACAATTATTCACTATTAACGGTGCTTATTTAATATTTGAAAAATTAATTTTATAGTTTACTAAACATAACTCAAGGTTTAAAGCTGTGTTTTATTAAATATATTTATGCAAATTCTATTACACTTTGCTACGCCTTAGGGGAAAGCGGTTACTAGAAGAGCCTTTAGTTTTTAATATCTAGATAAAGTACTTGTTGAATTGTTGTTAATTATCTGGCGAAAGAAGTTTTCGTGGAGCCTACAACTCGTTCAACCCTGGTATGTGGTTTTTTATCTAAAAATAATAACTAAATAAAAAGAAAGATTTCAAGAGCTCTTTGAGTCTTAAAATGTTCTTTATAAGATATTTGGAATGAATTAAATGGCAATAGTTTTTCAACAGGTATTTAAATTTACTGTTCATCATTTAAGAATCTACATTGTGGGTAGAAAAAAATATTACTTAAATGAAGCCTTGAGAGTTGAAAAAATTGCTGGCTGAATGTAATAGAATCTTTTCAGTTTTCTGATGTCGTCGTGTAGTATTTTATTTTAAGTATGAGCCTAATTGCTGGAAATAAATAGGAAGATTCATCGCTGTGTGTATGTTTCTGTGAAGGAATAACTCCCTGGAATGGGTGAAATGCATACAGCAGTGCAGAGCCTACTGGTTATTCCTTAAAATTCGTTTACTACATTCAATCAACGAGTTGAATACTGTTTCGTTGTAATTTTTATTTTTTTAATTCTTTTTTTTTTGTAATTCTCTTATTGTTTTTATATAAACCAAAAACTTTATTTATAACTGTTACATTTTTTTCGCAAAAAAAATTCAGACTTTAAATATTATGCAGGGCTTGCCGACAAGCTGAGCACCTGTGAAGTATGTTAAAAAAAAATAAAATCACTAAAACAGTAATTAACGCTTATTAAATCAATAAGTCAGCAATAGCGAACACACATTGAGAAGAGCAACAACTAATTATTTAATAGCGCAGAAAATATAATAAAATAATTACATTAAGTTCATTAACAAAAAGTGATGATTCTTTTTTTAATTATTACCATGAAATCTGTGAATCAGTAGCAAGCTTTCTAATAAAAACTGATTTAAAATAAAAAACCATCAGAAATTGCCGCTTGGCATGCGATTGGCGCCTTTATTGCAAAAATACAAGAAAAAAGTAGTAGCAAACAGCGTCAACATTAACTACGAAATAATAGAGATATACATTTACGAGGGCATATTTATAACATATATACTACAATATATACTATATATGTATGTATATGTGCAAATATACACGGCAAACGCCTTACGCCAGTTGACAGTTGCAACTAAGGCAGCTGAGTTGCTGAGGATGCTTTCCAAACAAGCAATGCTACCTAATAATTATAACGGTAAAAATTGTTTCTTTTTTCTTTTCCTTTTCTCCTTCATTTCTCCAACATTTCAATGACAAATCAAAGGAGAGTACAGCTGCCAAGACAAAGGTTGCACTGAAAGAAGTTTGAAATTATATATCAACAAAGCAAACAAACACATACATACAAAGCCGCTGTCACACACACGCATATAATAGGAATTTATACTGGTGCATACAAAGTTACATATTTATGTGCATACTACGTATGTACTCTTCCATGCGCTTATATTTGCTTTAATGACTTTAATTGCAATCACAATTGCACTTGACAATGCAAAGGTAGCGACGCAGCAGTGGCGGCGACAGCAAAAGCAGCATTGACGCTGATAATTATGGCGACTGCATCATTGCTGTTGTTGTTAGGTGTAATGTCATGAGAGCAATTTTTATGAGCAGAATTCATTGTCTGCGCATTTTTTCGATATTGTTGTTGTTACTTTTTTGTTGTATGCATCTGTAGGTCTTTTCAGAACTGTGCTGTTGTAACTTGGCAATTAAAAATTTATTTCATTTTTTTATTTATTTTATTTTTAACGTTAAAATAAATACAGTTTTTGGCATGAAAAATGGGGAACTTTGAAGATAAATGTTTTAAATTGTTAAAAACAAAATTTACATAATTCATTATTTCATATGAAAAATTATTTTGATAAATTTTTAGTTTAAATTAGCCTATAATAACTTTATTTCGACGGAAAAAAATTTAATAATATTTGGTAACAGAAAATTTTAATTTTGAAAGTGTAAAATAGCAAAATAAAAAAATTAAACAAAATAAAAAAATTCAATATTGGCAGTTTTCCATCAAATTTATTACTATCAAACTTAAAAGCAGGGATAATAATTAAATTTTCGTATATGGCAGAGCCGTCTATAGCGAAACCTCAACGTTAGAATACATAGAATATTTCTAAAATATTTTATAAAAAATTATTTCTTACTTACATCGCTTGAAAAGCTTATATTTTAATTTTAAAATCGCATTAAATTTTTTTTGCACACACTTTGATGCTAAAAACTGTTTGCTGCCAATGAAATGAGCTGTAACTCTTTCAACAATAACAATAATGATTTTATTTTTCATGCTTACGTGTTGTTGGTATTATTGCACACAACAATCGTTTAAATTTGCATAATTTTTTTCATATATATTTTTTTTTTTTTTTGCCCCAACTCATTTATGAAGCTGACTGCATGCCTGGCCCAAGGTCGCTAATATAGATTAGAAGATTTTTTAAAACAAATTTGGTTTTTGTTGCTGCAGGTTTTTCTGACGCAAGCACATGAGCTATTAATATTTGACAACAGAATACAAAAGCTGTAACAACAATTGCAGCATTATATACAACAGCACTTAATTACAACAGTGTCAATGGCAAGGACTTGGGGCAGCACGTATCTAATGGGCTTTTGGCTCAGCACTCGAGCAAACAAAACTACAACGTACGAGAGTGCTGCATAGACACAGACGAGTTGTCAATCAGTCAGACAGTCAGTCAGCGAGCCAGTCAGTTAGTCAGTCAACCATTCGCACAGCTAGTGTCAGCTGATAAAATCAGCGCATCCACAAACTTGAACTTGACAGCAGTGAAGTGATGACGCGAGCTGACGATAAGAACTATTCTTGAATGTATTACAATATATTGAACGAATGTGAGAATATATTAGTAATTGAAAAGAATTGAGTCACATACATAAAAGCATATATGTATGTTTTTATGTATGTGTGCTTCAAACTAAAGTTACACAGCTTTAAAGTCATTGTACTGAGCTGTTGCATTGAATGTAGTAGCCAATTGTTGTTGGTAGAAAAATCAATTCTCACTGGCTTATGAAGTTATTAAAAAAATTTACATTATTCTCATTTTTCTAACTGAATTTTCAATTTTTCGCTTAATCGCTGGAAATAATTTTTCTTTTTTTGCCAGTTGTTTTTGTTGTTAGTTTAGTGATTTATGAATTATGAAAACATTTCTGAAAATATTCTAGACGATTTTCGAAATTTAGCTGTATATAAATTCGGTTATTAGCTGTAGCTAATTAAAAGCTTTTATTTATGAGCGTAGCAGTGGCCAATTAGTTGCATGGTTGAAGCGCTTGAAGGCATTTTCCAGAAGTAATAAATGCAAAAAAGTAAAAAATAAAATGGAATAAAATTGAATAAAGTAAATTAAAATAAAATAAAAAATTTAGTAACGAAAAATAATAAAAAATTAAAATGAAAATAATAAAATATTATTAAGATAAAATAAAATGAAAAAAGAAAATTGAATTAAATAAAGCGAAAATAAAAAAAAACTAAGTAAAATAAAGTAAATTACTAAAAAATAAATAAAAACAAATAAATGAAAATAAAACAAACTGATATAAATTAAAATAAAATTAAAAACTAAAAAAAGTAAACTAAAAAATATTAAACTAAAATAATTAAAATAAAATATAATATATAAATTAAATTAAAATAAATTGAAATAAATTAAAAAATCAAAACAAACTAATATAAAATAAAATGAAATTAAATATGATAACATAAATTAAATTAAAATAAAATAAAATGAGAAAAAAATTGAATAATTAACGTAAGTTTAATTTAAGTTAAATTAAATTAAAAGTTAAACTGAATTAAATTAATATAAATAATATAAAATAAACTGATATGAAAAAATAGCAAAATTTAGATCACCATAAAAAATTAAATACAAAAGAAAAAGGCAAATTAAATTTGAACTTGACTAATAAAAAATAAAAGTAAAATAGCACTTCCATTTTTACCACAATCCATTAAAGAACCATTACTGCAGTTACTCATTTCGATTTTCTACACTTCTTAGTTGATTTTTTTCATATTTCACGATAAATATACTAAAAAATAAGAAATTTACCACATCATTAGCAAACGAAAACGAGGAATTCAATTATGCATAAATCGCAGTAAATTAGTGTGAAAATGCAGGCCTTCATTTGCATTCAGTTCAGCTTGGTTGAGTTTAATATTTTGATTTTATTTTAATAAATATTTTAATAATAATTAATAATTTATATAATTTTATTGTTATTTATTATTATTTTTGTTAAATATGAACTTACACCAACCATTTTGACTGATTATCTCCTTCTTCTTTTTCCCTGCAGGTACATTCACAAATCAAAACAATACGATCGGACCAAGCGCATTTGAAAAATAGCCGTTTTGGTGGCGAAGTATTTTTTCTAAATCTTGAAGATGGCTATTTTGGCTGTCAAGTTAATGAGTCTACAGATTATTTACAATTATTCGAATTATCGAAATTATGCGACGGCAGGCGAGATTGTTTTCTCGGTGCCGATGAGCTGAGAGAGGAGCTCAAATGCACAAGTGAGTAACTGAAATGAAATTTTTTGAAATTTTTTAATTAAAACAAATTGAATTCAATTCAATTGAAGTCAAATAATTTAAACATAATAAAAATTAATAAAACTAATTTAATTTAATTTGCATTATATTATTATTGCTTAAATCAAATTTAAATTACGAAATAATTAATTTATATCAATTTTACATAGAATTGAATTAATTGAACTGAAAATCAACAAAATAATATTACATTAATCATTTTCAATAAAATTTAAGAATTAAACTTAGAAATCGGATTGAAAAAAATATAAAATAATTCAAGGAAAATGTTTTACACATTTAAAAGTGCCATTAATAATTGTCACTTGTACACACATATGTATACGCACTCATGCCATTGAAATGCTTTACGGTGTTAAATTGTAATTTCCGTTAACGCTTTTCTCTAATTTGCAGATGACTGTGATAAGGATGGCACTCAGTGCACGAATGGTGTTTGCTTAAATGGCGTTTGCCATTGTAACGACGGTTTCGGCGGTTGTAATTGCAGTGAGCGAGGTGAGTGTCTACAATGAATAATCACATATATTATATTATGTGCATACATACATGTGTATATTAAATAGAATTTATTCTAAGAGCAATGTGCAATTTTGTTGCTGTTGTATACAAAGTAATTAAGATTTATTATTAAGTTTGTAAACAAAACGAATTTGTTGGAAAAGGATTTGCTTTGGATAAGACAACGCGTTGCTATAGCAAAACACAGAAGCGTATTTAATACTTAAGTAGTAGAAATTTACAAAAACCGTATCAAATAGTAATATCTTGAATTGCCAAACAAACAGACGTAATAATTAATGGTGGGCGATAGAAGTGATAAAGTGGTTGAATTAAGACTATGAGGTAAATTTAAACATTGAAAAGGAAATTAATTATTGCTAATGTGATAAAAAAGTAACTTAGCCAGATTTTTAAATTTAATTTTTATAAAAGCAATTTTATTTAATTTATTAATAATACTTTAACAAAAACAAATTATGACTTATTTCGAATTTTATTTTAAATATATAACAACTAACTTAAAAACTAAAAAAGTAAATGCAAAAGGTATTGTTATGAAAAATTTAAAAATATTATCAATTAATAAAACAAGTAATAATAAAATTACTGCTTACAAAAAATTAGTTAACAAAATCAAATATTGATTTTTAATTTTTCTTTCCTTGTTAAAAAATTATTAACTCATTAGAATTATTATATAAAAATTAACAACAATTTTTTTATACAACAATTTGTTGGATTTAAATTTTACAACCCCTTATATTTATTAAAGTTTAAAAATGTTTTTAAGCAGAAAAGTAAAATTTGTTTAATTAACTAATAACTTAATTTAAAATTTTATTTTACACGTTAATTAATGCCTTAATTCGAGATATTATTTTAATTATTTAACTACTAAATTAATAACTAATGAACAAAAATCAAATCACGAAAAATTTTAATTTCTTGATATATTTATTAGCTTAGTTTTATGAAAATTTACCAAATATTTTACTACTCCTAAACAGCAAAAATTCTAATAATTTATTAAATTTAATTCAACTAAAACTAAAAATAGCAATAAATGGTATGAAAAATTTATTCATTAACAAGGTAAAAAGGAAATAATTTCCAATTATATTTAATTAATTTTTAACTAATTAAAAAATAAATAACAGAAAAAAATTATTTAAAAAGTACAGTAAAAAACATTAAAAATAAAAAATATAAACAATTTTAAAGTGAAAAATTTTTAGAAAGTTTCACTTATATATAAAAATACACTTGTAATTATTAATTATAATAAATAATATAAATATAAATAATTTTAAAGTAAAAAATGAATCGAAGGTTTCACTTATTTATAAAAAAAAACATTTGATTTAATTTTAATATAACTCAAAAGTATACAATTATGAGGCACTAATATAATAACATTGAAATTTGCCAACTTTAAAATTGAAAAATTTATAATAATTCAATATAAATTGAAATTGAAAAAGAAATAATAATTGAATGTTTTCCGTTGATTTGATTTTAATTAAGTAACTATAAAAAACATAAAAAAATTAAATAAAATGAAAAATTTGAAAACCCCTAATTTTAATATTGAGACTTATAGACAACCTTACAAAAGCTGAACTGTCTCAAGAGCTAAGGTTTTTAAACTTGGTATGATTATAAAAAAATAATATTTTATTTATTACTAATTATAAAATGCTTTTAATTTAAATATATTTAATTCAATTTAACGAAAAATTCGTGGACGAAATCAAAAATATAAGGCACGAAATTATTAAAAAATACCTAGCTTTATTTTTAAGCCGGCATATGGAATGCAAAGAAAATATGTATTAAAAAAAATGTTCGTTAGTTAAAAAACAACATTGAAGCCTTGAAAACAGAATATCAACAATTAAACCTGCTTAAGAAAATTAAATATGTCGTCATTAAGTCTTACTTCAATGGCATAAAAAGTATGAAGAGAAAAGCAAAAACAAAAAAAAAATGAAATTAGCAAAATTTTAATACAAATAAGGAGTTTAAACAAATTCACTAAGAGCTGAATGCAACAATTTTTCGAACAAAATAGTTTTTTTCTGCCAAAAAAAAAAAAAAATTTTAATGACAAAAATATAAAAAAATTTTTAAAAATATATACTTATGTATAAGAGAACGATTTACCAATTTATTATTCCGAAACTACTAATTTATGTAGAATAAAATAATATATTAATAATTATTAATATTAATATTACTTAAAAGTGCAATGTATCTACAATGAGGCAACTTTAGTATATGAAAGGTAAGGCTTTGATTTAATTAATATAATTACATTCATTATTAAAATTTAAACCAGTATTGAGCTTAGAATTTTGGTAATTGAACCAAATATTTAATTTCAACTCTTTTAAGCCACCAGAGTAAGAAACATAATTTATTTATACATTTAAAAACAGCCAAAAAAACAAAAAAAAAGCATTGAATAATTAAAAATTTAAATAGATCAAAAAAGTACTAAAAATATTTGAAAAAGTAAACAAAATTCACATACTGCAATTAAATAATTATTAATTTATACGTATTACGCTCTGGAACTAGTATTTTTGGGTGCAAAAAAAAAATATTCTAACTGAAATAAACACAAAAGGCTGCCAAAAACACAGCTTTATTTATTAATTCTAGTTTTATTGGTATTAACTATTTAATTATTAATAGTTTAACAATAATTTTTTTTCACAACTTGAGCTTAACATTAATTAATTAATTAATTATTAATTAATTGTAAATAAATTGTAAATAAATTCAGCAAAAGCGACTTACAGTAGCTTGTAGTATTAGCTTACATTTATAATACCAAAACAAAAACAAACAGCAAGCACGACTAAATTAAATACATAAGCAAAATTTTAATTTAAATTTTAAACTCATAAAATTTTTACAAACAAACAAACAAACATATACATACTTATACATTTATATATTTAACCCTCACTCAAACGCTACTGCACCACTACATATCTAATCAAATGCTTCATATTGTATACCCTTCACGCTTACAGATGAAAACGAATGCAAATATCGTCCGTGTGATGTATTTGCGCACTGCATCAACACGCTTGGCAGCTTCACGTGTACCTGCTTTCCCGGCTATCACGGCAATGGGTTTCACTGCGAAGGTAAGTTTTTGTTTGAGTTTGGCACGCTTTCAAACAAAAAAAAAATGCTAAACAAAAATTAATTATATATGCACATATACATGCAAAAAAAAAAATACAACAAATACACACACTTATACACATTGAGTGTTAAGGGGTTAGACAAATATGCGTAAAATATGAAAAGAAAACACAAAAATGGCTGTGAAAAAACAAGTAAGAAAGGAAATGGACATAAAAGGAATTATTAAAAATTTTTAAAATAACAACAACAATTATAACAATAATAAAAATAAACATTTTTTAATAAAATATTGCAATTATCCTTAACAGCTCGCACATTAGTTTTTTTTTTGTTCTTTTTAACCGTTAACAGCATCATGATTGCTTATAAATTAGCTTAAAAAATAATAGAAATAATTTATTTAGTTATTATGCCACGAAACTGCAACAAATACTAAAAAATGCACAAAAATAACTATTTTTTTTATAATAACAAAATCAAAGTTATTTTTATAATTAAGCAAAATTCCTTTTTAACCAAATGAGATATATAAATATACTTAATTTTACAAAAAAAAAAAGCATTGCTGTGAGCTTTGAATATTTTATATTTTAAAGATTTTTTCTCATAATGAAAAAATTTGAAGTAATGTTGTTTCGAGAAATATTTCAAAAAATATTTTATTTTCAACTATGGCAATAAATTAAAAAAAAATCAAAGTGATAACGTAAAATTGTCATAAATCAAAATTTTTGACTTAGGACTATTTAAAAAAAATTGGCCAAAAAAGCAATGATTTGAAATTAAGCAGTATATTGGAGAAAGTAATTATATTTTCATAATTGAAATTGAATTAAATTAGAATTATGACGTTTTTAAAAAATACAAAAAATATATATTTTTTTTAACAGTAAATGGCAATGACCACAGCCATGGTATCAAATGATAAGATAATTTTTGTAAATATTGCGAGAAAAACTAAAAGAAAAAGAAAACAAAATGGCAATAATACAATTTTTTCGTAAACTAAAGTTATTTATTTTTGCTTTTTGAAAAATGTGAAGCACACAAAACGATAATAAGTGATTTTTTTAGCATATGAATATGAAAACTGTTGACTTTTGTCGTTTTTAGAAAAGTGCGTAAATTAAATTTTTTAACAATAATAGTGAATTTAAGAGAAAAAAATTATATTCAATATCAATTATCATGACTGAAAATTTTTGAGTTATGTCAGATTTGAAAAAAAGCGCGCACAATAAATATTTTTTAACAGCACCTAACTTACTGGTGCAAAAAAAAAATTATATTCAATAATACTTTTCGTAAGTGAAAATTTTTGAGTTATGTCATTTTGCGAAAAGTTACATGAAAAAATTTTAAGTAAAGCAGTTAAATGTAATTAAAACACATTTGATTTATATTTTATTCTTTAATTTTTACTCACTCTCTTGTGTCAAACACTTTTTGAACATTAGCTATAATCCGACAAACTAAAAATGTTTCTAAATATTAATTATCAAAATTAAAATATTTTCATTAATGACTTTTTTATCAAAATTGCGCAAATAAAATTTTTTTTTGGGAAACTGGCATTAAATTTAGGTATGGCATTTTAGTGCATTTAAATTTTTGAGTTGTGTCATTTATGCAAAAAGTGCACAAAAAAATTGGTGAAAAAGCGTTATAAAATAATTTATTTCATAACTACACTATTTTTATTTATGTCGTTTTTTAAAAAAATTTTGAAAAGTACACATTTAGTGAGATTAAGGATTTTTTTAATTCGGCTACTTTTAGTTTTTATAGATTCATCTGTGGATTTACTCTCTTAAGTAATGCAGAACTCATTAGTGTACTGAAATTAAAAAACAAAAAAATTTTCAAGAAATTTTGTTAATAAAAAATTAAAAAATCTGAAATTCTCGAAACTGTTTAATAACTTTTAATTAATTTATATTTGAAACTACAAAAAACTGAAAATTGATTAAATTTCGTTTAATCGTGATTGACGCTCTGGAAGCAAGAGAGTGGAAACTATACTGAGACATAAGAGCACATCATACTCGTATCATTTTCAGCGAGAAAAAAGTCTCATTCGAAGTAAATTCGATAGAACTTTGAATAGTTTGCCAGTAGATAATCGCTTTATAGCTAGACTACTCGAGGCAAGAACTATTCAAGGAGCCGACCTAACACAAGTAGGGTCGGCTCATGAGTACAACTGACTACCAGTGCACCTTCGTCTTGTCTTTGAGCACAGTGTTTAAGCTATGTTAGCATCTATCTGGCTCTGAAAGCACCGCTTTGAAATATTTTTTTTTTCCACCCATTAATTTTTACTCCTTTTGAAGTCTCACATTCAAGTATAATATATATATATATATATATATATATATATATACAAAAGCACTGACTTCTTACAGCACTAAAGCATATTCTAAATAATATAAGGTATTAACTTACCCACTGACTTCTTTCTCAACGCGCCGTCGGCCATTTATAAAAGGCAGAAGAGTGTAAAATAAAGCTACTTCTGCGCTTTGCGCCGCAGCTGAACTATACAACACATACAATGCTCGTATCTACACATCTATTTATCTTACAAAAGTAGCCAGCTGGTCATCGTTAGAGCAAGCCAATTGCTACATAACTACATATACATATACATATTTATTAAACTGATATCATACTTTATAGCAGCGAATAACGCCATAAAATAGGAGCAACAAAGAAAACTGCTGCAAAGCAAAAAAAAAAAATTAAAAATTCATATAAGAAAGATTGTTTAGATATACATACATATATGTACGAATATATAGCACTAGCTAAGATATGGCTAGTGTAAGTGTATAACAACTAACGGTTTTGAGGCAATAAAATACCATTGAAAAATATTGTATTAATAAAAGAAAATGTAGATAAAGCGAGAAAAAATGAAAAAATTACATATATATATAAAGTACAAGTAGCATAAAAGCAAGTGGATTAGTAGCAAAGTAGAATGGAGCAGTAAAGTCATAAAAAGAGTTAAAAAAAAAGAATAGAAAAGATCGAGTGAGCTACCCCAAAGTAGTAAAGTGGCGAGTGGGGTATCTGCGCTTGCATAGAAGAAAAGGTGATACAAAATCTGAGACACAAAAAAAAAAAACAAGATCACAATGGATATAAGAGATAAAATATAATCACACACAAACACAAACGACAGAAGACACAAGAGACACGAGCACACAACGGTTCTGTAAAATGACGCGGGCTATAAAAATGGTTTTTGGACCAAAGGCGGCAAGGCTAGCAGTGGTCATGAGCGCATGCTAGTAGATAATAGAAAAATACGGCTTTATAAACATAAAAACATGCAATACATAAATATGAGTATATGCATATAAGCACTCTCGGTAGACAATCAGCATAAACATGAATTTGAGTACAAAAAAAAATATGCCACAAATGGCTGGTGCAGCAAGAACAACAAATAAAATAGGAACCAGCGAGATTACTTCATACAAATAAAGCACATTGGCCGACAAAGGCATAAGCATATCAAATATACAGTTTATAATATTGCTACAAATGGCATTAGCTCCTCAATCCCACACCAACCCCTTCTTGCTCTCCATATCAGCTTTGTGCTCAGCTGAGCAAAAAAAAAAGTCCAACGGCGACAATAAACAACCAGATCATAGGAAGCGCCACAAATCAGTGAAAACTTTAGCTACGCTTTCCTTATCTGTACATGTGTGTGCATAATCGTACACATATGTAATGTGTCCACCAGTAGTAGTAGTAGTAGTAGTATTGCCCATCTGGCATAATTATTCATTTACAGTTTGTTAATTGTTTGAGTGCGCGCGCTAACTGGTTGTGCGGCCGGTGGCACTGATGCCAGCGGCACGCTACGCAAACTGGACACACCATAAATGTATTCTGCTATTAAATTACGTAATAAAGAGTGAGAGGAAAATGCGGTGGCACGAGATCATTTCCTCAGTTGTTCGAAACAGGAGTGTGTGTGTGTGTGTGTTCTTTGGCGACAATTACGCCGACAAGCTAAGGCAAAATTATTACTGTGCTCTGAAATACACTCACAAAGGGTGTTTGCGACTTTGGAATAAAAAGAAAAGTATATTTCAAACATATTGTTGCGATATTCGCCTGAGCTCGTCTTACAATATGTCGTGAGCGTCTTGATGTATTTCCAACAGATATAAGAACCTTCAGTTTGTTCTAGGCCACCTTCGAGCGGCAGATGTATATTTATTAAGAACTTTTAATTAATTTTCCATAACTTTGCTTATGGGCCTGATCCATGACCCCCAACATGGTAAAGTGCGCTGTTAGCTACTCAGCTATCCTATCATTCCTACTTATCTTCTGCAGCTTCCACTGTGTAGTACCAAAATGAGACTCTGTAAGTCGATTGTAGGCTAAAGCTCGCACCATTGCAAAACTTAAGAAAATAAAAGCTTTGGACGAGGTGAATGAAAAGTTGTTATATAAATTTCTCCGGCTAAATTTATGGTTTTCCAAGCTTCTGCTTCTTCATTGACGTATGTAGCGCTTGCAGCGCGCCTGCCTCATGTTCATTTTACTTCTCGCCTTATGGCACCAATTTAAAGTACCTAAAGAGCCTCGGCGAACTCCAATTAATCCTTCTCCCTCCCTATGAGTGCAAGTTCCCCTCTTTCTTTACTTCCATTAGTAGAGACTGGCATTGAAAACTTTCAAATCTGTAACGCTTTCAACCATCCGGACGACATAACCTAGTCAACATAAGCACTCATCCGTGGCTTATGTTGTTTTTCTATCAATCACCTGCTTACTTTAGCTCGATCGATATTATGTTCCATCCCTAGTGAGTCGCAGTCAAAACTTCTTCCCACCTTTCCGAGTGACATGAAATAAAACCTCCTCATAAGAAACCATCAGCCCTTCGGAGACGGCTTAATATATACTGTAGGTCCCTCAATTTTTTGGAAAAATATCAAGACTCAAAAAGAGTTTAAGCTCGGCGGAA